TGAAAGGGGTGGGCCAAGGACAGTCAGGTAGATGATGCTAGATGTGAGGTGTGCACTGGTTTCCCACGTGGAAGAAAAATATATTTGAAATATATTTTAAAAATATTCTTCACAAATATATTGCCATATATTTGAAATGCTACAATTTTGGCCATATTCAATATAATAAAAATAAATAAAAAAAATAATGAAAAACACACACACACACACACACACACACACACACACACACACACACTGAAGTAATGCATGAAGGTAAAAAACCTTAAGTATGCAGCTCCCCTCTCCCCCCCTCCAATCCCCAAATGTTACTTACCTGAGCCCAATCTTGATCCAGCAATGTGCACAAGAGCAGTGGCTCTCCCTCCTCACTGGCTCAGAGCCAATGGCTCCAGCTGCTGTCAATCACAGCCAGTGAGGAGGGATCAGGGTGGGTCTAAGCCCTGTACTATGTTTCTTATGGACACACAGAGCAGGGCTCGAGAGCAATTATGCATGAGTGCTGCCATAGCAAGTTGCTTGCTATGGGAGCGCTTGGGGGGTGGGGGCTGGGTAGGAACAGCCAGGAGCACTGGAGGGGGGCGCAAGAAGAGGAGATTCATGGCTGCTTTGTGCAAAACCATTGGGCACAGCAGGTAGGTATAATGTATTTGTTATTTAAAAAAAAAAAAAAAGAAGCTTTTACTATCATGTTATTCTTAGGCACATGAGAAAAATCTGTTTCTCAATCATTGACTTGTAGGAAACTATGGATTAATGGATCAGTTGGCTGCCCTAAGATGGGTACAGAAGAACATTCAATATTTTGGCGGTGACCCAAACAAGGTGACGATTTACGGCCAAAGCTCAGGTGAGAACAGTGTTCCAATATTAAATGATAACTATATTAAACACAATAAAACATGTTGTGCCTTTTTAAATGTACTTTCTGTATCCAAAAAGCTTGCAATCAAATGTCCCTCCATGCCATACATCAGGGGTCCTCAAACTTTTTAAACAGGGGGGCCAGTTCACTGTCCCTCAGACCGTTGGAGGGCTGGACTATAGTTTAAAAAAAAAAAAAACTATGAACAAATGCAGACACAGTACAGGAGATGACCAGAGACTGCGGACACAGTACAGGAGATGATCAGAGACTGCGGATACAGTACAGGAGATGACCAGAGACTGCGGACACAGTACAGGAGATGACCAGAGACTGCGGACACAGTACAGGAGATGACCAGAGACTGCGGACACAGTACAGGAGATGACCAGAGACTGCGGACACAGTACAGGAGATGACCAGAGACTGCGGACACAGTACAGGGGATGACCAGAGACTGCAGACACCCTGCAGGAGATGACCAGAGACTGCGGACATACAACGGCGGCGGGAATACTGGGCCAGCCGCTCCATAAGACGCACAGACATTTCCCCCCAAATGTGTCTTATGGAGTGAAATAATGCCCCATCATTGGGGTCAGTGGGAGGAATAGTGCCCCATCATTGGTGTTAGTGGGAGGAATAGTGCCCCATCATTGGTGTCAGTGGGAGGAATAGTGCCCATCATTGATATCAGTGGGAAGAATCGTGCCCCATCATTGGTGTCAGTGGGAAGAATCGTGCCCCATCATTGGTATCAGTGGGAGGAATAGTGCCCCATCATTAGTGTCAGTGGGAGGAATAGTGCCCCATCATTGGTGTCAATGGGAAGAAACGTGCCCCATCATTGGTGTCAGTGGGAGGAATAGTGCCCCATCATTGGTGTCAGTGAGAAGAATCATGCCCCATCATTGCTGTCAGTGGGAGCAATAGTGCCCCATCATTAGTGTCAGTGGGGGGAGGAATAGTGCCCCATTGTTGGTGTCAGTAGGAGGAATAGTGCCCCATCATTGGTGTCAGTAGGAGGAATAGTGCCCCATCATTGGTGTCAGTGGGAGGAATAGTGCCCCATCATTGGTGTCAGTGGGAGGAATAGTGTCCCATCATTGGTGTCAGTGGGAGGAATAGTGTCCCATCATTGGTGTCAGTGGGAGGAATAGTGTCCCATCATTGGTGTCAGTGGGAGGAATAGTGTCCCATCATTGATGTCAGTGGGAAGAATAGTGCCCCATCTTTGGTGTCAGTGGGAGGAATAGTACGTGATTGTTGTCAGTGGGGGGGGAATAGTGCCCCATCATTGGTGTCAGTGGGGGGGGATAGTGTCCCAACATTGGTGTCAGTGGGAGGAATAGTACCCCATCATTGGTGTCAGTGGGGGAAGGAATAGTGTTCCATCGCTGGTATCAGTGGGAGGAATAGTGCCCCATTGTTGGTGTCAGTGGGGGGAGGAATAGTGCCCCATCATTGGTGTCAGTGGGAGGAATAATGCCCCATCATTAGTATCAGTGACACCAATGATGGGGCACTATTCCTCCCACTGACACTTAACTTGCTGACCCCTGTTCCAGCATGGTGCTGCTGCAGCCAGCATACCTGGTTGCAGCAGCACCATCAGCACGGCACACTTACCTGTCAGCTGTCCTTCTTCACTCCGGCCTCTCCCTCGCACGATGTTCGCGGGGGGCCGCTCGGCTCCGCCTCCTCGCAGGTGATTGGCCACCTGTGTGCCTTTCCTGAGCTACAGTTCTGGCGCCCAATTACTAGTGAGGAGGCAGAGCCAAGCGGCAGGAGTGAGGGTGTGGCCAGAGTGAATGAAGGAGCAGCGCTTCCTGGACTGGATCGTCGTGGGACTGGGACCGGAGCCAGTAAGGTACAGCAGCCCCCTGCCCGCCCCTGTACTTAGTGTCCCTTCCTCGCGGAAAATACGCCACTGCCGGCGGACCGGATAAATGGCCTCGGCGGGCCACATGTAGTAGTTTGAGGACCCCTGCCATACATCTACAGGCACACATAGGACGCACTATGTAATCAAAGCCTATTTCCATTGCATTGTGGGAGAAAACATGAAAAAATTAGGAGAATGCTTATGTTTTAAAAAACAAAACAAAATGGCAATAAATGGATGAGGTGAACAGCGTGACGTCACTGCCCCACCTCTCCACCTCATCCAACCAGAGAGCACTTTGCATTCATTCAGAAAAATGCAAAACATTTCTGAATGATGCTCATGCTGAGCAGCCAACTGGCTGTGTTCAGGATGCATCAGGCCAGCCGCTCAGCATGGAGGCAAGTGGAGATCACTAGAGTAGTAGTGTCCAGTGATTATCAGCTTCCAAGGGCATTACCTGGTATAGTATATACATAGTTACATTGATCCAAGCTGGACAAATGTAACTACTGTATGTATAAAATATACCATACCTGGAATTCATTTATAAGTTTCTTAATAGAGGTTGAGTTATAGACTTTTTTACTTATACGCTTATGAGGTATGTCCAAAATATAATGAGAATGAAGTTCCTATGCTCAAGAAGGGCTCTGTGAAGGGAGAAGTTGGCCAAGACCATTTGCGGTGGGGAACCAGGTATACGTTAGAACACTGATCAGTTGCATTCCAGCCCTGTCAAGAGTCAAGACATTCTTTTTTGTGACACCCTGTTCAAGTGCCTTGTATTAAGAAAATGCAAGTTAGTTTGGAACAGTAATGGAATAAAGTGCAACAGCGCTAGGTGTCTAGTACTTAATTGGATGAATAAATGAATATATATGTGGATGAGAAAATTAATTAAAAGAGCAGCTAGCATAGAAAGTAAACCTCAAAAAACTTCGGATAGTATTTAATAAAAATATGAGCGCTGCATATTTTTATTACATAGTTTGGAACAGTGGTATGCTTCATTTTCTGTGAAATTGGATAAAAATGCATCAGAAATGGCGAGGAAAGCTTATGGAGAAGCTGTGCTATCATTTGCAAGTGTTCTGATGGCACAATGCCTTCATGGAAGGATGCAAAGGTATTGAAGAAGAACAACGATCAGGAAGCCCCTCTTTGTCAAAAACGGAACAGTATGTGGATGCAGTGAGATCTGTTCTCAACCATGACTGACGGCTCACGATCAGAATGATTGCAGAGGAAACGGGAATTACCACGTCAGTTGTTCATGAAATCGTGAATCCAGTATTTAAACATGAGAAAAGTGTGTGCAAAACTTGTTCCAAAGAACTTGTCACCTTATCAGAAGGAACACGATCAACTTGTTTGCCAAGACCTATTGGCCTGTTTTGAAAGATGATGAATCCTGGGTGTTTAGGTATGATCCCAAGACAAAGGAACAAAGTTCAGAATGGCACACACCCACGTCACCGTGCTCCAAGAAAGCTGGAATGAGCAATCCAAAAGTCAAATCAATGGCCATTGTTTTGTTTTTTTTTACGTGGAATTGTCCATAAGGAGTTTGTACCTACTGGTACAACTGTGACTCACAAATTTACCTGAAAGTTCTTGGTCGCTTCAGAAAAATAATTTTTCATGTGCATCCTGAGATCAGTTCAACTTGGATCCTTCATCACGACAACGAACGGAGTCACATTGCTTTGCCTGGCAGAGTTTTGGGCTAAAAAAAAAAAAACACATACCGGTGCTTCCCCATCTATCCTACAGCCCCGACTTGACTCCTTGTGATTTTTTTCATATTCCCAAAGATGAAGAAGGGGTCGAAAGGACACCATTTTGGTAGTGTGGATAACGCCGAAAGAGCCACTATGCAGGCTCTGTACACCATCCTACTTGAAGACTTCCAGGGATGCTATGAAGGATGGAAAAATTGCTGGAAGCATTGTGTACACTCACAAGGTGCATACTTTGATGGAGACAATGTTCAATTGTAAAATGTTTCAATAACATAACTTTTAAAATATCATTCTCATTACTTTTCTGGACACACCTTGTAATATTGTGTGCATTTGTTTTAGAAGCTCTGTTGCATAAAAGCTATAATTGCTATAGTTATGTTTTGCTTCTGGCCAACCTCATATGAATTCTCTTATTAATAAAGGAGGGACTTCAGTGTGGACTATGATGGTGTCCCCTTTGGCCAAGGGTCTTTTTCATCGTGCCATTGATATCAGTGGATCCTCTGTGTTTAAAACCAGTATGGCTGAGGCAGAGAAGGACAATCTGGTTTTCCTGCAGAAGACAGGCTGCAAAGATGCTGCGTGTTTGAGGCAGCTGAACGTAACCAAGATCCTTCAAGTAAGTGTCAACCACAGGTGAGAAGCTCATGGTCAATGAGCATATGAAGGTTTTTTATTGCATTGCCTAAGTAGGGTAACCCGTGACTGTAACTGATGAAATATACCATGCTACCAAATGTTTGTGGATACCTAACCATCACACCTACTATGTTTTAAAAAGTATGTGCTCAACCCTCCAAATTAATGAATTTTGAAGTTTTGAGTGAAAGGATTTGTTAATGCTACATCATACAAAGACATTTTAGACAATTGTGCGCTTTTAATCCTGTGGCAAGCTTGAGTAAAACTCTTCTCTGTTCAAGCATGACTGTGCATAAAGTCAGGTCCATAAAGACATGGTTTGATGAGTTTGGTTTGTAGGAAGTTCAATGACCTGCTCTGACCTCAACCCGATTGAACACCTATGGAAAGAATTGGAATGTTGATTTCAAGCCATAAGCCAGGTCTTCGGAGCCAACATCAACACCATATATGCTTTTTTTTGCCTCAGTGGCTCAAATTCCAAGACATACTACAACATCTTGTGGAAACACTTCCTATAAGAATGGAGCTTGTTACAGCTGCATAGGGTGGGGTGGGGGTGCAACCCTATTGGAATTGGATGGCTTTTAGAATAGGGTGTCCAATAAGCTCATAAAGTTGTAATAGTCATGTGTCCACAAATGTTTGACTATGAAGCATATCATCACTTAAGGGAAGCAATGCTATTAATATACTATGCAGATGGATAATGCTAACAATGTCAGCTACACCTAAAGAAAGAATTTCCCTACTCTAGTCTACACTTTTGTACATAGCTAAAAGGTTCCCTTTGCAGTATGACACAAGCGACATATACCCAGAACATAGACATGGAGGGGTTTATTTACTAAAGCTGGAGAGTCCAAAATCAGACTCCCTTCTGCATAGAAACCAATCAGCTTCTAACCTCAGCTTGTTCAATGAAGCTTTGGCAATGAAACCTGGAAGCTGATTGGTTTCTATGCAGAAGGGAGTCTGATTTTGGACTCTCCAGCTTTAGTAAATAAACCCCGGAGGGTCTACTCTCAGATAAAACAGTTTAATTTATAGTAATGGTTATGGTAGTTTTGTTTGTTATAACGTTACCTGTATTACTTCTAGTCCATCCCTTGGAAAGAATACCCAGCATGGGCAGCGGAAGACCTATTTGACTTGCCACAAAAAGAAAAATTTGTTGGCCCATTGCCTGTAGTGGATGGATATGTGGTGCCATTTCCCCCACTGGATATATGGAAGGAGAAGAAAGAGGGCTACAGTGATGTACCATATGTGATCGGTACCACCCTGCAAGAAACTGAGTTTGCGTAAGACAATTACTATCTCCTGAATACATTGACAACGTCCAGGAGAGGATTGGGTCCTTTTAGACCAGGAGAAAAAACACAACCAACCAGCTCTGTTATAAGTAGGATAGGTCTCTGTGTATGCACTGTATATAGCAACATTCTTGAAAAATTCTACCCCCCCTATAGAATTAATGCATTTGTGTGTAAGCTTGTCCTCTCATATTAATGCCATTAGCTGGTATTCACATGAGCATAGCATTTAACACCACCACAGCATATTTTAAAAGACTAACTGACTTCACCCCCTTTCTCCCACACGTCCGCACTGGTGCTTGGCAATTTGCTGCTTGGAGACCAGAACCTTCACATAGGGACAGGATAAGAGAGTCCACAACCCTGTGTAAGCTCCGAGTTGTGACTTTAAATCTACACAGGATTTTCCTCACTCCAGGCAGCTAAAGGGAGCCGTGGGAAGTCAAAGGAAGGCATGCATGTGTTAGAGTTAAAGCAGAAGTTCACTAAATCAGGCTGATCTGCTTTTGGCAGGCTTTGGTCAGGTTTGACACAATTATTTGTCTTTAGGACACAATTATTTGTTGGTAATCAAGCGTGACAAATTCTTTTGTTGCTACTGACCTTTATGTAATGGCACCTTAACCCAAGAGAACCATAAAACAGACTGTATATAACATTCTGTGAAAATCTAAAATGAGTATGCTGGATAAAATACACTAGTCATGATGTGCCTTCATTTATACTGGGGGGGGTTGGACTTTGCCTCTCGCAGGCCCTTAGACCAGCTACCCAATTTGACTCTCATGGCACTGTGCTCCCCACTACCCCACTTGGATAGAAGTAGCTCTGGTCCCTCCTGCTCCTCCACACAGCGGTTATTTGGGAAAGTTCGCTGTCTTAAATGAGCACAGCTAAAGGCAAACCTTTTGACTTACAACATTGATAGAAAGGTCTGCAAATGTGGGTTTCGGCTGGTGATCCTTTTAGCACATGCCAGCAAGGTGCAGTGGTTATCCTAGAATACCCAGGCATGGATGTAATTTTTTACAGCCCATGTCTGTGTTTCCGAGTTGAAAGAATAAATGTTAAAATACACATAAAAAACACCAGTAACACAAAAGAAATGACTCCTGCTGCTGTCCCTGAGCCAATGAGGAGGGAGAGAGCTGGGAGAGACACTGCTCTCCTGCACAGTTCTGAATCGATATTGGGCTCAGGTTAGTATGGAAAGGGGGGGGGGAGACTACACACTGGGGGCTTTTTACCTTCATGCATAGAATGCATGTGAAGGTAAGAAAACCTTCAGTCTTTAGAACCACTTTAAAGTGATACTAAACCTAAAAATGTTTTTTTACCCTAATGCATTGCTTGCATTAGAGTAAAAAACGTTTTTAAGTTCCCTGTGCTCCCCCTTCCATGTGTGAAGGGGAAGAGAGGGGAGAAGAGATCAGCGCTGTGCACAGCTGCATCTCTTCTCCCTTGCTTCCTCTTCACAGAGGGACATGAACAGCAGCAGGAGCCATTGGCTCTTGCTGCTGTCAATCAATTGCGGTGAAAAGGAAGTGGGGCTAGGTCCTGTTGTGTGCGTCTATGGAGCACTGCTCCGTAGACACACAGATCGGGAGTGAGCGCGCAGTGTGTTTGTCCCCATAGCAAACAGCTTGCTATGGAGACACACAAAGAAGAGAGAGAGGCAGGATTGCCATCAGGGGACTCAAGAAGAAGAGAATCGGGGCAACTCTGTGCAATACCACTGCACAGAGCATGTGAGCATAATAGGTTTGTTACTTCAATTTAAAAAAAAATTGCTTTTAGTAACACTTTTACGGAAAAATATTGTTTGCAGCTTTCAGAACTCTCTTTTGTTTTTTATTTTTATGAGCATGTGTGTGATTTATCTACAAATTAGGTCTCATGGTAGAGGAGTAAGCTGTATTACTTACCTTACTCCTCACTCCAGCAGACTCAGGTGCTCTCCACCTCTCTACACTGCTTTTGGTTTTTTTTTTGTTTTGTTTTTTTTTTTTCTTCTATGGTTGAACTGGATGGACTTTTGTCTTTTTTCAGCCAGACTAACTATGTAACTATGGATGGGCCCTCAGTGTCCTCACATATAATGCAAGACTACTGGTGCTGCATAGCACATGATGACATTAGTGTGCAATCGATGGCTTGAGCACATTAGAGAGAATGATTTGGGGAACCAGTGGCACAGCATAGTGGAAGCCTGCTGGAGTGAATAATAAGGAAAGCATTACACCTTACTCCTCTACCCCTAGACTTATTGGGAGTTTGCCGCTTCCAGCGCGGTTGGTGTGGAAGCAGGGCTGGGGCAAGAGGTGGGCAGTTGCCCTGGACACTGTGGTATCATGTGAGGTGGGGGGGGGGTTTCAGCGAAAAGGGTGGAGAGGATATGTGTTGGGAGGGGGAATTTGGGTGGCGGCAGGGAGTAAAAATTGTTTTAGGAGGGGAAACTTGGGGGGTGATTTTGTGTTGGGGGGGAGGGAGAAATGGGGGAAGAGGATCTGTGCCAGGAAGGGATTTGTGCTAGAAGAGTTGATATAGTAGAAGGGGGAGGGGAAATTTTTTTTTTGGGGGGGGGATTTGTGCGAGTAGGGATGATTGGGAGGTATTTGTGCTAGGATGGGAAATTGGGGGGGACTTGTGCTGGGGAGGGGGATTGGGTGGGGAATTTGTGCTGGGAGGGAGGGGGTGTAGAGTGGGAGGAGAATATGTGTATTTGGGGGAAATTTGAGGGATAGAGGATTTGTTCTAGGAGCCGTTGTGCTGGGGGAATGTGGGAAGAGAGAGGATCCGAGCTGGGTGGGGAATATATGCCTAGGGGATAAGTATGCAGGTTAGTGCTCAGTTTTTTTTTTTTAAAGGGGGGATTTTTGCTGATAATAATGCACATAATGCTCATACATTTTTTTTTTGGGGGGGGGCAGTTTGGCATGGGTTCTAGATGACCTTGTGCTGGCATTGGGTGGAACAGTGTGGGTTCACAGCAAGGTATTTGTTTTTTAAATCCCAGAGTTCAGCTTTAAGGAGAATTCCATTCCTGTGTGGAGGTTGATGGAAGATAGCTACCCTTTAATTCACTTTCTACCAGGAAGCAAGGGAGGTGCATCCCATGTTCCAATGTGCTTATTTATTTATTTCAGGTAGTTATATAGTGCTGCCAATTTACGCAGCACTTTACATATATATTGTACATTCACATCAGTCCCTAACCCTCAAGGGGTGTACAATCTAAGGTCCCTAACTCACATTCATACATACACATACTAGGGACAATTTAGACAGGATCCAATTAACCTACCAGCATGTCTTTAGAGCGTGGGAGGAAATCGGAGTACCTGGAGGAAACCCACACAGGCACCGGGAGAACATGCAAACTCCAGGCAGGTGGTGCCGTGGCTGGGATTCAAACTAACGACCCGAGTACTGCCAGGCGGAAGTGCTAACCATTTAGCCACTGTGCTTATAGATATAATTTTTCTCCACAGCCCATCTTTTGCCAACCTGTCTAAGTGGACTGAAGAAGATTACCATTGGTTTGCCAAATGTGAGTTTTTTTTCTAATGATCAAATTATAAACTTTTCATGAATCTTCAGGATGACGTGTAATATTCTTCTCCAGTACATCTGAACACATTTGGGGAAAGTCTGGCAGATGAGGCTCTGAAACTCTATCCCACCTCAGAGTTCTGCACCCAACCTGAGCGATGTGTGGAGAAGACCTACATGACAATGGTGTCTGATGTGAGAGCCTCATGTCCCAACAATGAGCTGGCCAAACAAGCAGCAGGTACTTGTAAATCCTCTCTCTAGGAATTCCATCACACCTTTGTTTACAAAAGGGCAAATTCACAGCAAATCTATTCTCTGTCCATGTATTTTTTTTACTGTGACACCTTCCTGTCATACTTCCCTTCCTCTCCAAAAAGAAAGAGCAAAGAAAATGTGTGCTAACCCTTCTCTGATATCTGCAAAAGAAAGTTGACTGGAGATATGCTTTAAAGCCCAATTAAAGCCTCACCCCATTTTATGTCTTTATTTTCCTGTACCTCTGGATTTGTGGCTGATTTTGCTTAGAATGCTCAGTGAAAATGCCACGTCTTGCCCACCCACAGCAGTTCTCTATGTGATCATAACTAAATAACACGGGGTCACAATCTGGTGCCCTTCGTCTGAACAACTGCTATAATAGAAAAGTGGAGGTAATGCAGGCCATAGACGGGTCGTTTATATCGGTCGAATTTTCGTCCGAACAAAACAAATCGGTCGATATTCACACCGTTAGTGGGGCAATGCCGTCGGATGTTTTTTTGCGGATCTTCGTTTCTTTTTATCGGTCATGCTGGGAAATCCACGAAAAAAGGACGTTTTTTGTAAGCATTGGTGGGAGCATCCATGGCAGCAACGACCGATTTTTCGTTTATCGGCCGACAATTCGGCCAATAAACGGCCCGTCTATGGCCAGCCTTAGACTAGGAAATTGGAGGTTGCTTGTATGTCTATCAGACAATTGGGCTTTAAAAGAGAAGTACAAGATATTAAAAAAACAAAAACAATCATACTCACCATTATCGATCCATGCTGTATCTGTCCCCTTTAGCCTCTCACCCAAATGGAAGAAAAATATATTTTAAATATATTTTAAAAATATTCTTCCCAAATACATTGACATATATTTGAAATACTACAATTTTGGCCATATGCAATATATATACATATATATATATTCCAAAGAGCAGGGCCCTCGAACCCCTCGTGTACTGTATTGTCACTGTATTGTCTCATGTACTGACCCCCACTATAATGTACAGCGCTGAGCAAACTTTTTGGCGCTATATAAATACTGTATAATAATAATAAAAAATACATATATGCACACACACATATATATATATATATAAAAATATATATATATATATATACATACACACATACATACACACACACATACACACACTGTATGATGAAATGCGTTTTTTTTATATACTACAGAATATATAAAAAATATTTTTAAAAATACATTTTCAAATATACTGTATGTCTTTAAAAATACATTTAATCTACATTTTTGGAATGCGTTTACAAATATATGTAAAAATTTATGTTAACATGACTTTTTATATGTTAAAAAAAAACTGATATATATATATATACACACACATTTTGATTTTTTTTTTTTTTAATATATTGAGTGTGGCAAAAATTGTAGTATTTTAAATATATGTCAATATATTTGGGAAGAATATTTTTTAAAAATATAGTTAAAATGTATTTTTCTTCCATGTGGGAAGACCGACAGGTGAGAATCAATCACCACTGATCACTCATTTCTGGTCTTCAGTCTGTCAATCACTGGCTTTTTGCTCTGCCTCGCCAGCACTCATTGGAGTGCCAAGCTGTGGAGGGGGCGTGAACGTCTGTCCCAGGTTCTGAGAGGCTGGGCCAGCTGCCAGTCCAGGCATCTGGGAGGATCTTTCCTGAACCTGGACAGACTGATTGCCTATGGGTCACAGGAATGCAAAGTATAGCTAAAAGAGTTTCTCCTTTAAGCTTTTTGATGGAAGTCGAAGAAATTTTCATTTAAAATGTGATGTCCCCTTGGAAAAGTAGATCCTGGTCACTAGTAGAAATGTATCATAATAAAATATTTAAAAGCAACTTCTCTATGTAACTGATGACCATTCATTGTCCTTTAATTGCAGCTGCATTGTCCAGCCCTGTCTACCGGTATCAGGTCACCTACACTCCATCCCGACCAGTTAGAGTCAATAACCTCTTCCCCTATGAAAGCTGGTTCTCCTTTCATATTCTGGATATCCTGGGATTTTTTGGAACTCTGGATTACGCGCTTGGAGAGACTACAGAAGCAGATCATGAGTTCCAGAGGCTGATGAGAAAATACTTCATTTACTTTGCTAAAGAAGGTAAGAACAACCCTAAGGGAGGTTGTCCCTCAACATCTAGGGGCCAGCATATTGCACACACTGGTACAAGCTGAAGAATCCCAACATCCATGGTTTACAGATACTGAAACATGAAAGCTGCAATTGCTGAAAATGCTAGTTGCCTGGCTGTATCTGATTTCAATACTTTGAGCAGTGGAACAATTATGAAGTATAGTGAGCAAAGAAAGTTGAAACTCCTGATCTCCATACTTGTTCAAGGTCATTATCTGGGATTTTCATAAGGATAGGTCAGCTATGGCAGCCCACATTTTTTAATGATAGAGGTTTCCTTGAAGTTAGGTTTTCCTGGACTATGGCTCTTGAAAGGGGTGGAGCTTGGCCACACATGGGTCTGTTTTAGCCAGTAATGTCACACTTTGGGCAGGTCATACAGAGAGCAAAAGAGCACTTTAACAGAATAGACAATCAGCTGAATAAATATACAGATAGTAAACTAACTACCCCCCATTCCTGACCAGGTCATTTTTTGGGTTATGGCGCTGTGTTACTTTAACTGGCAATTGCACGGTCATGCAACGCTGCACCCAAATTAAAATTACGTCCGTTTTTTTCCCACAAAGAGCTTTCTCTTGGTGGTATTTGATTACCTGTGCGGTTTTTATTTTTTGTGTTATAAATTTAAAAAAATCATCAATTTTGAGGAAAAAAAATATTTGACTTTTTGCTATTAAACATGTTCAGTAAAAAAAATTAAAAAAATAAAATTGTCATAAATTCAGGACAAAATGTATTCTGCTACACATCTTTGCTAAAAAAAATCCCAGTATGTGTAAATGAATTGGTTTACGTGAAAGTTATAGCATTTACAAAAAAGACGGTATATATGGTTTTTTTTTAATGGTGGAGATCAGTAAACTTACAGCGGGACTGTGACGGGCATTCTGACACTGGGAGGGGGGAACTGACGTCGTGTTACTGACCTCCCCAGTGACAATAATACAGTGATCATTGCTAATAAAAAGCACTGACATTGTACTAATGACACTGAGCAGGAAGTGGTTAACATCTGGGGTGATCAAAGGGTTAACTGTGTGCGTTTTACTATGGGGCGGTGTCTGTGCTTTCCACTGTAAGTACACTGCTTTGTGTGGCTCTGCATAGCAGAGCCATACAAAGCAGTGTGCTGGAGCGAACAGGGGAGAGATCTGTATTGTTTACATACAGTTATCTTACCCCCCTCGGTATTACTCAGTGATCACTGGCGAGTATTCACTGGGGGCGGGACCTGGTGATTGACAGCCGAGACTGTGAATGGTGACGCAGGTAGGGTGTGGCATAGTCTCTACAAGACTCTATAGCAGCCTTTCTCAAAAAGTTCACAGTACATTAATGTGATGGTCACTTAGAGGAATGCACCTTACATTGGTGGTCATTGGGAAGATTGTCGTTCCCCCCAATACAGATTGTTATAAAGATCAATGCTGTCATTGGTTACTCATTTGAGAGGCAGATTCCTTTGCTCAAGGAACTCCTAACGACCTCTAAAGTAGCCCTAGTTAAGAGAAGGTTGAGAAAGGCTGCTCAATAGTGTAGCTGAGAATCACTACTTCAGTAAAACAGTTCAGAACACAAACAGCTAATTGTGATTATCGTCAAAGTCTACATCCCTCCCAGTGAAGTCCAGGGTAGATCTGCTAACAGGCAGGCAGCTGGAGAGATACAAGTTCCAAGGGCAAAGAGCCACCCCATTGGAACTGTAGTGTGCTGGTAGAAATTAAAGACAGCAGCTGGTCTTCAGGAGCAGCTGTTTACTATTGTACTCTGTCTCAGCTGTCCGCATATTGGTTAGTGGAGGGCCTATCACCTGGCTACAGTTCGCAAGTCTATCTACCTCTGTCTCATCAGCTGTGCTGTAAGGGAGGGAAACTGAGGAATGTATCTTCCCTGAGAGTGTCCAGGAATCCAGCATGGTGAGTAATTGGGCACCACAGTACAGCACCTGTAGCATTGGACAATATGATGTGAAGGCAAAGGTAGGTAACTTAGGAATTATTGTTTTATACTAAATACCATGCAGAGCTTATTACAAATGTCCATATAAAAGAACATCTGGGTATCAATGACCATAATATGATTTTGTTTATTGTTAGCTGTAAACAGCAAGCACATACAGGAAAAATAAAAATGTTCAATTTTAAGAGAGCTAATTTCTCAAGGCTGAGAGCTGCTCTCCAAGACTTAGACTGGGAGGGAATATTGGCATCAATGAACACAACACAGAAATGGGATTTCTTCAAAAAGACTGTATGTGAACACACTGCAAAATATATTCCCATGGGCAACAAGTTTAGAAGGCTAAAAATCAAACCTTCAAGCCATTCCTCTCTGGCTGGTGACCCATTTTTTTCTTGGTCTTGAGCATCCGGTTGATTCTCTGTGTCCTCCTTCTGGTCATGCTGGCAGGTTCCCTCATCAGGCCTCATCCAGTGCCAGATTCGGGCAGTAGTCCATCAGGCAGCTCTTTGGCTGTTTCTCTTTTTTGGGGCTTCTATTGGTTGTTGCCATTTGCCCACCCCCCCAATTGGACTGCTTTTGGATGCCCTGACAGTGTATGACTTCCTGTGTTCCTCAATGGGCGAGAAAGAAAATAGGATTTTTGCACTTAAAATCCTTTTCTTGGAGTCTATTGGGGGACACAGGATCCACCCCTCTGTGTTCATCAGCATGCTCTTGGAACTGGTTGTTACAAACCAAGACATGCTGGGTAAAGGAGGGATTATCCTGGGCTGGCCTACATATTTTAGTGTTTACCAGTGTCCAATCCTCCTGTAGGTGGCACTAAAACCCAACAGCATATGATTTCCTGAGTCCCTCAATCGCATTCAGGATTGTATGGTTGATCTAAAAATCCTGTTTTTGTATTCAGATATATTTTAAGGTCCATTGTCACACCTTCAGCTTTAATGCTTTAATTTTCTCTGGTGAATCTGGGTTCTACCTTTGGCTCAAATCACACTGTCGCAATGGCTAAGGTGGTTTTCCTAGACTTTCAAAAACACTCAATTCTGAATTAGCGAGAAAAACGAATTATCCAAGTCAGATTTTGGCCACAAGCTGTACATTTGCACACTCAGAGCTAAGTGCCTTTTCAGTGTATTTTAAAAAGTATTAAATGTACAGTAAATGCATCATGCAGAAATAAATGTTGACAGTTGGATACATGAACCTTTTGTTCTGCCTGGAATTCTTCTTAGCTTCGAAATGTTGAAACATATGCAGTAGCTGTCAGAACATGAGAACTGGTGGTTTGGGGAAGGGCACAGATTGACTTTTATGTATTCAAATTTTTTTATTGTTACAGGAAGCATGCCACCTGAATGGCCAGAGTACCCCAATGGGACGGCGCTATTGTCCACGTCGCTGTCTGTGGAGAAGGACTATCGCTCAGCTCAGTGTGCACTCTGGGAGAAGTACAACATGTTTCCATATGCCTGGATAAACTGAGGAATACGTCTTTTACATTGAAGGTAACATGTTGTAAAAAAAATATGATGGTTGTCTCCGAAAACTGCCAGTTGCCTGGCTGTCATATCATCTCAGAAGCTTCAACATTTTGGGGACTGATCAAGAATGCTGATCAGGTGTTTGACTTTCAAACTTGTTTCAGTCGAGAAGTCAGAAACAATAAAGACAAATACAAAATAGGAAAGTAGCATTTGCATCTGCTCTCAAGAGGTCACCAGCAACAGTTTTTGAATTTTCCTCAGCATGGGTTCCCCTTTGACTTGGTGGGTTTTCAAGGTCTTTAAATCCTTACATGGGATTAACTGTTAGTGAAGAGGACCCTTTCTATCTTCAAGAGGGTTGGGATAATGGTGAGCTTAAAAAAGCCAAAAATTATAAGTGATGTTCTCAATTTGAGGAACTTTTGCAGAAATGTGGCTTCCAGCTGGCACTAGATGAAACATACAGAATTTCTCCAATTTGAGCTGCTCCTTTACTTATGTTATCAAAGGCAGCATGGGGTCTGGTTTTCAACTCTACAGTCTACCAAATGAGAAATGAGGGGTGATGTCAAGTTTTCTGAACTGTAATTAGCCTTTACACTCCTTTCAACATTCCCTGCAACTCCATCCCCTGCAACTCTATTGCAAACTTTTGCTACAAATGTCCAAAAGCAGACAGAAGTGAAAAACAAAGTAAGAATACGTTATCACCATTTATACATGTAGAAGCTTGATGTTCCCTCTAACCCTGCTGTCCTTGGCACCAAACCAGCTGCTGGAGCGACCCCACTGTTTCTTAAATCTATCTTGACAACAGAGTTCAAGTGCAAGTGTTCACATCTCCTGAAAACATTAAACCCCTGATGAAGGAGGCGTTCCATAACTCCTGAAAAAAGATGGCATTACAGACTTTTATTTTTAATAAACCGACTTTACAATGGGTTTACCATTCAGTTTGTTTTTTTTATTTCCTACTGTTGTAAATACAGGCTTGGTTCCAAATTTATACAAGTATGGGCAAGTTTTCCCTAAGTGCACTAACCAGAAAAGGGTCCTGCACATGGAAATGGTCACTAAAGCTACAATAAAGTTTGGTATACAGAGATATTTAGGAAAATTTGCAGCATGTGGGTAACATGTCTTGTTCACATTTCTGTCTGATATACTAATGCAGTTTGGTTTGCTTAAAAAATAAGTTTACAAAAGGTTTTCTTCCGGGTAGAAAGATTTCTGGATTTCTAAGTTTGAAAATTGTGTTATATTTGTTAGAGCAAATCCTGTTGGTCTTATTTACCAAAGCTTGGAGATGGGAAAATATGTATTGCCCAAAGTGATGTCTGATGCCTGGACCATAGTGGCCAAAAGTATTAGATTTCCCCAACGGATCTAGGTCAATGTCCTTGAAGTTATATAGCTGAATTGAAAGAGTCCCTTTGCACCTACCTGTATTCCTAAAGTAAGACGCAAATCTTTATAAAAAGAACTTTAGTTGGAAATACAAAGTTTGTGAGCAAGAAGGCTGTTTTATTGCAGAAGATATATATATATATATATATATATATATATATATATATTTCACAAACTTGACACCGTACACAAGTATCTCAATGTACAATGGGTGGATGACAACCTTATTTTAATCACATTTTAGTGTCACTTTATTTTTTACTATTTTTTTTTTCCATTTAGTTTTCCACCATGCCTTACCTTTTTTTCACCACTAGATGACATGTGAACACTTTTAATACCATTTCACTCTATGAGGCCTATTTATATGCTTTCTGAGTTTTACTTCTTACAATACCATACTCCCTTTCACTCCAATCCCTCCTCTTTCCCTTTGCCTAGCCTGTGACACCTTTCACCTTTATTAATATACCCTACCTAGTTAAAGAATGGCTTATTTCTACTATAAAATTCTCTGCACTCAATAAAGCAGGTTTATTGCTTCTGAAAAAAAAAAAAAAAAAAAGACAATAAAACAGTATAACCATACAGATTAATTTTGCTGCCTCCCAAGCAGGGGCGGACTGACCATTTGGAAACTCGGGCACTGCCCGAGGGCCCGGGGTCAGTAGGGGGCCCCATGAGATGCCCCTGGTATCTTTTTTATAGGCTTTTTTGAGTTTGGCCAAGGACACAGGGGCCCCATGATCCCTATTGCCCGGGGGCCCCATGAGTTGTCAGTCCGCCCCTGCTCCCAAGCAGGGGTGTATTTACCACAAGGCAAATAAGGCATTTGCCTAGGGCAGCATTTTTCAGGGGGGGCAGCACTGCCCTCTAGAAGAAAGGACAAAAGAAGGGACACATGTGGCATGGGGACCAGGTGGGATCCGAGAGAGGCTGCAGGCTGCTTGATGGTGTATGCAGAGCCCAACTCTCATTCCCAGGGATGTCTGGAGCTGTGAAAGTGAATGTCTCTCTCTCACTCTCACCGGGGGGGGGGATGTGTGTTAGTGGAAGTCTCCCTCAGGTGGGGGGGTAGCCAATTTTCGTGTTGCCTAGGGCAGCACAAAACCTAAATACACCACTGCCCCAAGCCTTACTTCTTAAGAAGCCATGTTTCCATGCACTGCACTGGTGATGTCCACAAAGCCTGAAACAGCTGTATTCTGTTTGAAGTAGTAAATTGCTTTGTAATATACAACTTATTTACGACTTATTATACACCAGCGGTTCTGGATCTGGCTGATGGGGCATACAAAAATGACTTGCATTCCTCTGTCCACTTTCCTGAAATGAAGAATAATTCTATTTTGGGGTATGTGTCGGAATGAGCCGTGTCAATATCTACTGTTGTAAGACTTGGTTATAGGGATGTTTTGCTTTTAGTCCCTTCTCGACATAACCTGTATGGCTGTACTGTCTCATAAGACTAAAAGATCTTATTTCTCAAAAAAAATAGTTTTCATAGTCACCATATCCCCAACATGAGTAATAAATGGTTTACACGTCATATTATGGTCACAATCCAAATACACAAACCAAAAGTGTGTCCATCGCCTTTCACAAATCTGTCCAACCTGAGATCTTACAAACACACATAGATCTCTTTAGTTACTTATTTTTCTAAGCTCAAAAGGAATAGTCAGCATTAGGGAAAAAGAGAACATTTATGCAGCTAGTAAGTAAGGCGGCTTCCTATCCAAGTACTGACCAGCTTGACCCTGCTTAGCTTCCAAAAGCAGACAAATGCAAGGCAGCTAGCAAGTAGGGTAAGTATTCAAACCCCAAAATAAAATGTGAAAGCAAGAGTGCAGCACGTAAGTGAGTGATCAAGAATGAACAATATTATAATCAAAAAACAAAGTGTAGATAATATACTTATGACACAAATTACCAAAAAAAAGTGTGACTTTGAAGTCAACGGTGTCCCTAGGGTTGGTGTCACCCGGTGTGGTAACACTTGGTGACACCCCCTCCGACGATCTCCGCTTAATGAATAGGATCTGCAGATTGAGCATAATGGATCAGAGTCTGATCCATTATCCTCCCCAATCCGCAGATCCGATCCATCCTGCGGGGATTGTTGGCATGCAACCAGGGGCAGACTGACCATTTGGAAACTCGGGCGCTGCCCGAGGGCCCAGGGTCAGTAGGGGGCCCCATGAGATGCCCCTGGTACCTTTTTCATAGGCTTTTTTGATTTTGGGCAAGGACACAGGGGCCCCATGATCCCCTATTGCCCGGGGGCCCTATGAGTTGTCAGTCCGCCCCTGCATGCAACCTATATGGGGTGAAACCGGACCCGCTCCACGAAAAGGTAAGTTTTAAAGCAACCCGACAATCCCCGCAGGATGGATTGGATCTGCGGATTGGGGAGCATAATGGATCGGACTCCAATCCATTATGCTCAATCCGCAGATCTGATCCATCCTGCAGGGATCGTCGGCTTGCTTTACAATTTACCTTTTCACGGAGTGGGTCCGGTGTCACCACATATAGGTTGCATGCCGATGATCCCCGCAGGATGGATCGGATCTGTGGATTGGGGAGGATAATGGATCGGACTCCGATCCATTATGCTCAATCCGCAGATCCATTCCATCCTGCGGTGATCGTTGGCTTGCTTTACAACTTACCTTTTTGTGGAGCGGGTCCGGTTTCACCCCGTGCGGTAGGACGGCCCTGTTTGAAGTACATAAAAAGGTTCCAAAAACATGTGAGTCTTCTTAGTGGTAAATAATAAGTCCAACAGTTGTCGGTGTGTAGTATTCATCAAACACTTCCAGCTATTAGGCTAGGTTCACATCTGTGCGAGTGGTGCTGCTGCGGATCCACACGAAAATCCGTGCAGCCGCACCACCCGCACAGAGACATGTGGACCCATGGGCGGGTGCCATTAGTTCTAATGGCACGCTGCCCACACTGGAAAACGCAACCGTAGTGGGAACCAAGGTTCCCATGCGGGCTGCGGTTTCGGAAGAAGTGCAGGGACTTCTTCCCTGCATGTCATGGGGCACGAGAGTCCATTCAAATGAATGGGCTCTCGTGCCCATGCAAAACGTGGCCCGCACGGTTGCATAGATGTGCACTTCTATATGTGAGCTTAAGCTGCATCAGAAAGGCAGCAGACAGCATTTTTAGCACAGGCAGGGCATCAGAGTATTGGAATCCATCCGCTTTGTAATCCTCATCTTGCACAGGGGGCCACCGGCACCAACAATATATCAAGCCTAGGAGGAATTCTCACCACACCGGAGCCTCAGAAAAAGGTATATTGTGTAGTAATTTATTCATAAAATCAGCTTTTATCCATCCATTAAATCCATACACCAAAGTTTTCAGGTATAGCAGAGTGTAAATCTACCATGTGGGAACGTTCACTTACTAAAAGGGCTGTTTCTGTTACCGGCTACCCTCTTAGTAAGTGAATGTTCCCACATGTTAGATTTACACTCTGCTATACCTGAAAACTTTGGTGTATGGATTTAAAAGATGGAGAGAAGCTGATTTTATGAAAATATTCTACACAATATACAGGGGTTAGACAAAAAC